CATTCCTCTACAGTCCACTTTATCTCAGTCAACTGTGGGAAATGCGTGACAGAAGTCAGTTAATTCCTCTTGAAATGCAGCAGTTTGCTGATAAGAGGAAGTAGACTCCCAGAACTCCTCCACAGACTACTTACTGATTCTGTTAAGCGTAGGATGGGACTGACTTTGACCGACAAATACAACTCGCTACTTTTCACACTGGAATTGGGTGAGTCATTGTGTTAAGATATATGCAGAATATTGATTATTGTTTTGTTGTAATAATGAGATTTTCTTTTTTAAAGCTGTAATTCAATTTTCAGACCTTGCCTTTAAATATATTATAAAATATATCCTTTTTTTTATTTAATGTTATATTTAACCTATGTATTTATTGAATGTTACTGTGAAGGTCGCAGTTTAGTTAATTTGGGCTGTTTGGGTTATAAATGATAAATTGAGGATGATATGAAATACTCAACCTTTTTTTAAGGGCAGAATTTTGTGTTTATTATTCTGGGTGATTTATTCTGGTGTATTTCAGTTTCATTGTTACAGGCAGCGTGTGCTGGAGGAACATGTGAAAACGTATTTAAAGGTTTCTCAGACTGCCTGCTCAGCCTTGGAGAAAACATGGTGAACTATCCCCAAGAGCTGGATGACAGCGAAAACCTACAGACCATCTGCTCGTAAGTACACACTGTCTGCAATCATTTCTGGAAGAAGCTAAGCATTAAATATCTGGTGGTCTTTCTCATATTCACATATCCGTGAGTAGAACTCGTGCCATCCGTGACTCAGACTCACAATACTGAAACATATTTCATTCGCAAGGACTAAAACAGATTGTGCACTTTATGTTTATCCTCATGCAGACATTGGAATGACTTCCACTCGTGTGCCTCCACCGCAATCGCAGATTGTCAAGAAGGAGCAACAGACCTCTGGGAAAAACTGAAACTGCAGTCCCAGAGCTTGAACTATCAGGGAAGCTTGTTTGAATTATGCTCCGGGGATAATGGAGTATCCAGAGTTTTATTACCAGTGGAACTTAAGATACTGCTGATGTGTTTTACCACACTGGTGGTTTGGCTTGCTTTTGAGTAATAAACCTGAAGATCTGACCTGAAACAAGTTACAGAATGGATAATATGCATCCCTGTCTCTCTTCAACTGACTCCGTACATGTTTTGATTCACATAATATGATGATTATGTTAAATATAGGACTCGTTGGCACTCCTTGACCTATGGAAAAATTACCGAAGTAACTCTCTTAAATGGGTCTTGGGTCTTTTTTTTTTTTATTACCAAAATGTGAAAATAGTTCAAAGTAAAAATGTGAATTACATTATATTATTATATGAAAAGAAAATATATATTTTAAAACACATTTTTTCTTCTTGGACCATTATTAGGTAAAAACAGTGCATTCTACAATGAGGACCAATAATTAGAATAATTTTTATTATTATTATTTAAAGCACACCTAAAATACATATTATTGTCTGAAAAGCACATATTTAACATCACAGACTTTTTTCTTCATAGACCAATCTGCTCAAATAAAATTAACTTAATAAACTGATTATTTTAATACAGTATAGGATAATATACTTATAAATTAAAAAGGCATTTGGGCAAATTTTAGAAGTGTCTCATCTTTTGTTGACACTGAAGCAAATGAAATATGAATCAAATAAATCAAATGTTTGAATAAACACCCTGATTTTTTTATTTAAGTTTTTTTTTGTTGTTGCTTGTTTGACTTCTCCATACAGTACATCACATATGATTTGTTGTATTTTGAGATTCTTGATCATCTAAATAGTTTCAGTGGGTTCAAGCTCTGTCACCCCCTCCCAGTACATTGAGTTGCTTTAAATAAAACGGAACAGCTAAATGCAAGTAATTCCATATATTTTCCACGAGGAGTTGCATGCTCATTTAAAGTTATGAAGCCCCCAGCGTTTTTTCCTCTTTAATGATAGCAAAAAAAAACTGAACATCTGTCTAAAGCAAGACACACACAATACATATTAAAATGGGGGCACATCTCTGCTGGAATATTAATGGCAGGAGAGGCCCAGATGCTCTTTTTATTGTGAATATGAGCCCTTGAAATAGGACCACGACCTGGTTATTAACACGTGCTGTGCTGAAGGTCCTAAGCATTCCCTGAAGGGATTGTGCATTCATCGACTCAAACACATCTGTCTTTTTGTTTGCTACATAATTTGATGTGAACAAAATAAAAGCAAATCTAACTCAGTCACCTTGAGAGAAGAATATACTGTAAGTGGGATCTGTGAGTGGAAAATGAAACAAGATTTCCTTTATTTATTCAATCAACATCGATTGCATCACATATGCACAAATTAATTGTCTCTGTACTGTATATGCAAGATCCAGAGCAGAAACTATAAGTGTTTACTAATTTAGCGACTCCTCCATACTCAAGACAGCATCCCGAACACAATAAACCACTCGGACATGATCACTTTGCATGTTTTGGCAGCAGAACTAGATTTCACTAGAGATTTGCAGGACAACATTGCAGGTGAACATAGTAAGCTTGTATATACAGGTGCATCTCAATAAATTAGAATGTCATGGAAAAGTTCATTTATTTCAGTAATTCAACTCAAACTACTTACACAAAAAGTTACAGTAGTGTGTTTTACAAGAAAATACTATTTACGTTCTACTTCAAAATTTCATGTTTAATTAATTGTATTAGTTGCCATTCTTTGTAATTGTTTGTAGAATTCACTAGCAATTTCTGAGAACAAATGTTTCTAATTGCTAATTGTACTTATATGGCATTCTTAGAAATATTGAAAACATACTGAACCATATTCCCATGCTTTAAATATAGTTAAAAAAAAACTTCACCTTTGAAAATCCAGTTGATAACAGTTAATACGACTAGATGTTTAATTGTAAATGTCATAAAAGTTTAGTATAAGCCATGGAAATGCCTCTGATGAATATCATTATGTAAAATATTTAAGGCGTTGTCAGAGCAGATGATGGCAGTTGGTATCTGAGGAGAGTCAGAATGTGCTCTTAACAAACACCTGCTGTCTAGAGCAATAATACTATGTAATGTGCACCATCTTATTGTGAAAATATCAGCTCTATGTACCTGTGAAGACTAATTACCAGTGTAGATGTACTTAAAGTCCATCAAACAGGTCTGCTTATCATATGAATCATGACTTTATGCATATAGAATTCTTCTGTGCATCTTAAATTTATCAGAACCAGTTTCTTTATATGCAAAATACTGAATAACTGTCACGTAGAAGAAGGCCATTGTACCGTCATGTCTTCCGTTCTGTGGGCTACAAAACAGAAAGTGTCCAGGCTCTTTCTGGTTGTTAATAATGCAGGAGGTTGTGTGAGTAAATGGGGCAGACGGTAGATCCTATGTGGACCCTGTGGAAATGGAAGCAGCAGAGCAGAGGATGAATAATAAACACAGGTGACGTTTGAATGCAGAAAGTCAAGGATGAGAGACGGAGACTTTCAATGGTTCAGCTCAATGCTCATGAAGATGTTAACATTTGTAATTAATTTAATTTTGTGTGGTAGCTGCGGGGTATACTTCAGGAAGCTGAGGTTACTCAGGTTCTCCGGCTGGCTTTTCATCTAAATGATAGAGTATGGAGTATAAGTGCTACAGTAATTTTGCAAAAAAAAAAAAAAATATATATATATATATATAAAAACAAACATGAATTCTGGAGATGGCAGTGTTAATTCCTTTATTGTGTACTAATTACAAAACAAACAAACAAACATGAATTCTGGAGATGGCAGTGTTTAATTCCCTTATTGTGCACTATTAATTACAAAACAAACAAATAAACAAACATGAATTCTGGAGATGGCAGTGTTTAATTCCTGTATTGTGCGCTATTAATTACAAAACAAACAAACATGCATTTTGGAAATGATAGTGATTTATTTCCTTATTGTACATTACTAATTATAAAACAATCAAACAAACATGAATTCTGGAGATGGCTAATTCCATTATTGTGCACTATTAATTACAAAACAAACAAACAAATAAACATGCATTTTGTAAATGATAGTGATTTATTTCCCTATTGTACATTACTAATTATAAAACAATCAAACAAACACGAATTCTGGAGATGGTAGTGGTAATTCCTTTATTGTGCACTATTAATTACAAAACAAACAAACAAACAAACAAACATGAATTCTGGAGATGGTAGTGTTTAATTCCTTTATTGTTCACTATTAATTACAAAACAAACAAACATGCATTTTGGAAATGATAGTGATTTTTGTCAACCCTATAGTGCACCACTAATTATAAAACAAACAAACAAACAAACATGAATTCTGGAAATGATAGTGATTCATTCCCCTATTGTATATCACTATTTATAAAACAAACAAACTTTTTCTTTGAATTTTTGAGATGGTGGTGTTTAATTCTGTTATTTTGCACCTCTAATTACAAACAAACAAACAAACTCGAATTTTGAAGACGGTAGTTTAATTCCTTGATCGCCAGAAGTGTTCTTCAGATATATTTGCTAGTTAAATAACAGTAAAAGATACATACAGTACATACATTAGACTCAATTGTTTCAGGAGTCTATGTTTTTTCCACATTGTTTTCATTTAGCAAAAAGTGAACAGTCTTGTTTTACACAACACAGTTAGTGTGATGAGGCCCCATATGCCCACAGTCAGCCATGATGCGGCCCTAGGGATCTTCTGTGGTCTCCCCAGGCACAACACTACTGTGGACATGAATTTCTCCTAATGTGATGTTAACTGCCCTATATAGCGCTCATAAAGGGTAGCATTGAAAAATTGCACAAAAAGTGCATGTCCAGTAAATTGCATTTCCATTTTAATATACAGTCGGAAGAATGAAACACTGCCATGGGTTGGTAATCTGCAAAAATGTCCTGAAATGTACTAGTACTAAAAATGGCATTTGCCTCTTTATTGTAGGAATGCACTTTACATTCCACGGCCATCTGCTCAACGGATCCTGACACTAGATGGCGATGTATCAAACGCAACTCAACGCAACACGAGAAGAACTACACTGAAATCAACATGGCGTCGTGCAGCAGGGCTCAAGTGATCTCTCTCTACAGGATGCTTATGAAAGAGAGTAAAAAATTCCCCTCATATAATTACAGGTACGCTTTTTATTATTCACTGTGAAAAAATATTCTGTATAAATTATAATTATATATATTCGTGAATGTTGTCTTTGTCTAGTTGTCACTGTATTATTAAACTAGTAATTTTAAACGATAATTTATATATGTATATATGTAAACGACGCATGCCTTTTTAATTCGTTTTATATTTAAACTATTATGTCCCATCTACTGGTTATTTACTATAAAAATACTGTTTGTTTTCAGAACATACGCACTTCGCAGAGTGAAAGATGGCTTCAGGGAGAACCTTCATGTTGACAACCCCAAAACACTGGATATGCTCATAAATCAAGCTAGAGAGAATCTGGCGGCCATCAAGAGACAGGCAAGCAATGCCAGCTTTGTTTAATATTCCAGTATGATTTTTATGGCCAACGAACTTGAATGGCCTGATCCAAATAGGAGAATGTAATAATATTTAGAGTTGCGAATAATTAAAATAACATTTAATGTCCTATATCTAAGTATCTCTTATCCTTGTCTCACAGGTTTCCATTGGCCATCTGTATTCTGCCCAGAAGACCATTGTTGAAAAAGAGCCTCATTTATAAGTGTCTTCAGAATCAAAATGTCTGGTTTGTTAATGACAAATCTGTTTATCCTGGGAGCTGCAACACTAGTCGACCATGTTTGTAAAAATGGTATATTAGAGTGTACTGTAAATGTATGTTTATGTTATACTTTTTAGCCAATAAATAAGATACATATAATGAATGGCTAGAATATGAGAATCAATGTAAATAGAAAAAAAATTACACAAATAGATTACCTACATTTGAGCAACAACACTTAAGTTCATTTTGCAGATCTTTAAGACATATGGCAAGACTAAACATGTTACCTACAATATGGTAGTATGACTTAATTAAAATGTGTTCAAACGATTAAGACAAATGATCATGCAACTAAAAGTCAAGTTCACTTTATTGAACTAAATTTCAGATCGTTGCATCAATTAAATCCTTGTATTGTCAAGTATAGTGAGTCTGAATCCTCAAAGTGTAGTTCTGTCCGTCATTATTGTCCCAGTATTTTCCGTGATCAGTTTGACAATACACTGCGAAATGCACTGATGAATCTTTGTCAAAACAGAATGGCGTGTGCAAAACGAAGTCAAACTTTTCCCACTCTAGCCCCTTTTCTTCATTCTTCAGTCTCAATGCAGCTTGTATATCCGAAAATGTCAGCCAGTTGTTTAAAGTGTACCTGACCCCAGCTTCTCTTGCGTTGCTCTGCATCACTCTTATCACACCCTTCACTTCAGAAGCGGTTATTGTGACACTCTCCAATGCGACTCCCAGACGGCGTGACTTCATATCAAACTCCAGCGAACTAACAGGCATTTCAAAGGCTGGTGCTAAACGTGCTGAATTCAGATGCTGAAGCTGCTGGTTTGGAGGATGATTCTGGAGTCCAGATGTTTCATTTGCAACATCAGAGATGTCAAAGTGTCTGACGTTTGCCAGATTCAACCCCATCATGTCTGCAAACTGGACTCTCTTTCCACGGACTGGATGTTCCTTGTGTGAGGAAGATTCATGCTGGTATAGGTCTACAGGCAGAGATTTGGCTCTTTGCCTGTCAGTTTTTGGTGAATAAGGTGATGATTCTGGTTCAGACAGACACTCGGTCTTGTCTGAAGTTTGAGTTTCCTCTGACTGCTCCTTGTCCATGAGTATTCATCATATCGACCACTTCAGATGTAATTGAGGAGCGGAAGGTCTTTTAAATATAAGAGCTGGACCTGCAGTCTTTGCGTAAGAAAGATGCTTGACAAATACTACGTGCACATGAGTTGCGTCACAGCAACGTCACTTGTCTTTGCAAACAAATTAGTGATGTCTAATCAGCAAAAAAAAAAAAAGACTTTTAAAAGCCAGAAACCAGCCTAGGGCTTTGAGGACATAATCATAGTTATTTAATATATTTATCAATAAATAAAAAACAAAGATTTTACATTGTGCAATATTTAATTTATTTAAGCTATTTATTTTGACAAGTGACAAGATTTTTCTTCTGTAATTAATGTCATTTAATTCATATTTATTTAGAGTAGCCCAAAAAAATTGATAATTTGTTCCCTAGTTATACTAAAGCAAACTTTATTATGTAATAATAAAGAATCGTAAAGAACATCCAATCTTTAAAGTCACATTTGGTCTTCCACTGTATGTTGTCTGGTCTGTCAATCATTGTCTAGTGCAGAAACAGTATGACGTACTGCAGAGTGCTTGTGCGCACATGACAGTGAGCACATTTTTCTGCACGTGGATCTGTTTACACCCTTTATGACAACAGAGTGCAGTCGGTTTAATAATTAATTATATTAGATTATTATTATGTTGAAGTTGTTTTCTCCTCCAGAATTTCAGTTAGTAGAATCTTGTTTTTAAGGAATAGTTCACCCAAAAATGAAAATTCTGTCATTATTTACTCACCACGTTGTTCCAAGCCTGTATGAGTTTATTTGTTCTGTTGAAGATATTTTGAAGAATGCTGGAAACTTATCAGTTGGGGGAAAAAAAAAATACTTTCTTCAAAATATCTTCATTTGTGTTCAACAGAAAAAATAAACTCATGCAGGTTTAGAACAACAAATGATTAACATTTTTGATTGAACTGTCCCTTTAATCTTAGAGGATTCTTTTGGATCGATTCCAAATTATGATTAAATTCCTTAGGATTTTGAAAGGGGTAAATTAGGTAATTGGGGACATTTGACAGTGGGGTTTTACGTATAGCCTATAAATAACAAATGTCTTACATAATTCCCTTTAAAAGGGGGAATTGCTATCTTTTTCCTTTTTTTTAAAGACGTTAACACTTAAGGGTATTTTAGCTAACCATTATGTATTATTGAGCAGGATCATTTAGGCTATATATATATAT